GCTCGCCGTCGGGAAAGATAACGTCGCGCGTGGCGACTAGCCACACTACATTTGTATATATATATATATGAAAGATGGAATAATGCAATACCGCATTGATATAGATATATAACAATCCTCCCTGACCTGGCCTCGAACCTAGGTCACTCCGGGTATGAGACCGGAGGGCCAGTACTAAACCAACCATGCCACACGACCCACAAAAGGAGTGTGCAACTAGGATCCAACTAGCTCCATAGACATTACCTATCTACTCATCATGAGTAAGATAGCGAGGTTTTACACACACTCCCCGTGAGCACTCGGTGGGAATTGATTTAGAAATTCGAAACCGAAGTCAGATATCCTGAGGTATATATATGAAAGATGGAATAATGCAATACCGCATTGATATAGATATATAACAATCCTCCCTGACCTGGCCTCGAACCTAGGTCACTCCGGGTATGAGACCGGAGGGCCAGTACTAAACCAACCATGCCACACGACCCACAAAAGGAGTGTGCAACTAGGATCCAACTAGCTCCATAGACATTACCTATCTACTCATCATGAGTAAGATAGCGAGGTTTTACACACACTCCCCGTGAGCACTCGGTGGGAATTGATTTAGAAATTCGAAACCGAAGTCAGATATCCTGAGGTATATATATGAAAGATGGAATAATGCAATACCGCATTGATATAGATATATAACAATCCTCCCTGACCTGGCCTCGAACCTAGGTCACTCCGGGTATGAGACCGGAGGGCCAGTACTAAACCAACCATGCCACACGACCCACAAAAGGAGTGTGCAACTAGGATCCAACTAGCTCCATAGACATTACCTATCTACTCATCATGAGTAAGATAGCGAGGTTTTACACACACTCCCCGTGAGCACTCGGTGGGAATTGATTTAGAAATTCGAAACCGAAGTCAGATATCCTGAGGTATATATATGAAAGATGGAATAATACAATACCGCATTGATATAGATATATAACAATCCTCCCTGACCTGGCCTCGAACCTAGGTCACTCCGGGTATGAGACCGGAGGGCCAGTACTAAACCAACCATGCCACACGACCCACAAAAGGAGTGTGCAACTAGGATCCAACTAGCTCCATAGACATTACCTATCTACTCATCATGAGTAAGATAGCAGTAAGATAGTAAGATAGTAAGATGTTTGGCATGCATAGAGTAGTTTTGAAGTGTTTAGAGAGATTTCAGCCAAACACATTTGAAAATACTGCTTCGTACTGATCTTTCGATGAGTCTGATCAACGAACGGTGATTACAATATGTGCGTGTTCTCGAGCACAACTATGCCTCCTCCAGACAAGGAGCCAACCAGCGTAATATACGAGGTGTAGAGAAATACAAATATTGTTTTTTTATAATACATCACCACTTTACAATAATACTCTTCGTGGTAGAATTATCAAAATATTTTTTTTGAGAGAAAAAAAAATACATACATATATGTGCATATGTATGTATGTATATATATATATATATATATATATATATATATATATATATATATATATATATATTAACGTACTGGAACAAGTTTTCCTGACTTTCTACACGAAGTCCTCCACTTTATTTCTCCATGTGAATTAAATAGTTCTCACAAAATTACTTAGGACTCAATAACATCGTCAATCTCCGGTAATATCATTTTGTTATTGTTGACTTTTTTGTGACTGGCTTGTTTTTGAAATGGCATTAGTAACGTGGAACATATGACTAATCTGTTCGTTTTTGAGAAGAGACAACACCAGGACATTTTTATGGTGGAAGGTGGTTAGGTTACTTACAGATGCTCTACACTAACATACCGAAATCCTTCGTTAGTAAAGCTCTCTTTAGGCTGAAATTCTAAATTTTATAAATATTAAGCAGTGAATTTTAAACCTATTGATCTGCCACAGATTTTAAAGCCCCACATAAGATATGAGATACAGTAGGTGTATTGATTATTACAATCTTTGTTGACCAATAACAATTGTATCGGCCTCATACAATGGTAATTTGTTCATACTTTTTCATCAATTGAATTTATTCATTGAACTGAATTCATTATTCAACAGCAATAATGTTAAGGTTTTGGATTATGCGTTACATGTTTTGTTCCAGAATTGGGACCGTAACAGCGCCATTGGCATATTCATTAAAATAAATTTCAAATTTTAAATCTTCCTTCAAACTATTGTCTATTATCTTGTGTTTTATGAGAAGTATACACGTGTGGAGAAAGAGCTGTTGCAACACAGTTCAGACTCTCCATTGTTTTATCCTGCTGTTTGTGCTGCGGTGGTGAGGTTTCCGAAAGAATGACATTGAAAAAAAACAAAACAGGTGTGGTTTTACAATTCTAGCAAGAAATTAAATTCTTCCCACAATGGAAAATTTCATCAATACTTGTACACCTGCGATATCAATGCTGCCAGTTGTTGCTTCGAGACTACGCCTTGACTAGCAAGTATCTTAGACCCACAGTTGTCGACAAGCCCTAGCTTAGGACACTAGTGCAGAGCACCATGGTTCCGAGGGGCGCCTTCCTGTTGCTGGCGGTGTCGGCGATTTGGCTGAGTGGGTGTGTTCGCCCAGCGGCTTCGGTAAGAGTCCCATTTCTTCTTCCTTTCCCTTCACATTTTCAAGTGTACTGTTGAGACTAACTTTATTTTCGTTTATAGTTATTATATACTATAAACGTGTGATTTTTCTGTATATCGTGATCCAAAGCCTACAAAGACAGTGAAAACACACTCTTGTTCAAAATGTTTCATTGGGAAAGGAAATTTGAGACTGATAATTATAATCATTCCAATATTCTCCCAAGCTATGGGAGCCTTCTTTTGTTCAAATAAATGCTTATGATGCTGTTGAAAATTTAGATTTTTGAAACAAAAAGAAAAATGCGAGTTGACTAATGTGATTTCAAAAGATGTACTACTGTTGGACATTAAATTGTGAGAAAACTGATTAAGACACACATTACTGTCTTTCAATTTTGATGGTACTGATATATGTTCAAGGAGTTTAGTGAAAAAAAAAATAGTGTGCATCCTTTTAAGAAATACCCTCGATAAAGCTTTACTGTGGTTATTTATTATTTTATCATTTGTAGCTCATACAGGGTAACCCTAAAAAAAGGGAATTTTATTTTTTTTACATTACTTGATTTACTTTTTCTCAAGTTCTAAATATAAATCTGAGAAGATTTGGTTAAGACAAATTATACTCATAGATCTTGAGAAAAATACCTTACGATACTCTCCAAGAATCTGAACTAGACGTTTTTTGCGCATATTATAACCCCATCGGAAATATCAACACCACCACCAGCGAGGAAAAGATTGCAGAATTCTGCTGAATTAGATTGTAAACAGCAAAACTAATGAGATCGAACGTACCACCGTATTGTTGCAGCACAGCCCTGCAACCCGTTGGAAAATCATTGATCTCAAAACAAAAAAAAATGGATCGAGCTATTGTTTGCAAATTGAAGTCAAATTGAAGACAAAACTGACCTACGTGTGATGGCCTCGGTAGAATTTCAATACAATTCTTATGCGTAAGATACACAAATGCAGGCATTTTTTAGCAGTATTCAGTGACTGCCGGCAAATAACAGAAACAGCGGGAGTAGGTAGTGTAAAAGGTTGTCTGTGGATTATATGATGGTCTATCGTACAAAAACGCTGCAAAAAAATTATGTAATTTTCTAATGTTCAAACTTAACAGCATATTTGTCTTCCTCAGCCAATATAAAAATTTTCACATTTTGTAGTAGCATTCATCAGGCCCTTGCCATCGGTAGATGTCGTACATACTTTCCAAACCGTAAGAAAAATATCTTTGAGCTTCGGAACAACTGATCATTCGAATTCTATCTTTGAATTCTTCGTGAAAATAGAATGAAAAGAAAACCAATTAGTAAACATAATAAACTATCACAGTGCAATTGTACAATGATAGCAAAATACCTATTAACCCTTTGTGCTGAATGGCCCAAAAGTTGCAAAACCAGTCATTACCCAGATATATAAATTGAGTGGCTGAGATAAATTTAGTAGTAACTAATCAACAACTAATCTCTGTGCAGCTACGCTTTGTCACACTGGTATGGCGTCTGAAGGATTTGTTTAGCTTCACAAACAGCCCGGACGTAACAATAGGGTGCTCGATCCATTTTTTTTTTTTTAAGTGTTAAAAACACTGAATACCTTTCTGTGTTATAAAAGAATACGTTCGAACGTAACGGTTTGTATCAATACGGTGACGTTGAAACAAAGCCACGTAAATTTTTGCTTTATATTTAGTTTTAATCAAATTTACAAAGACATTTCTTGTACTGGTAATTATAAGTCTTTTCTTTATCTCTATATAGCATGTCTGTACACGTCGATCCAAGAGGCCTCTTGGGTCGAAAAATTGAAGTACCGCATTATAACATATTCCGGTGAAATTGTTCACTGCATAACGTTACGAAATGATAAATTCAAGGCAAGTGTCACCACCGCCTCTGCGCACCCGACCCAGTTGTGAAATACGTTAAAACAATGACTTCTGCTACTCGCTAACGCTATTAATGCTATGCACCGAATCGTGGTAAATTGTGGTTCAATGTTGTATTTTCACTATAAAATAACATACTAGATATGATAATCACTTAATATTCACCGTATTGAATAAGTGTTTCGTATCAAATTGTTCAAAATGAATACTTTCATTTTAAGATTATTCGGTACTACATAGGAATGAAAAAAAAAAAAAAATACATATATATATTTTTTTTTTGTTTATTAACATACATTGCTATTAAGTGTGGAAATGAAATCTCGCTCATTTTCTTCAGAGAAGCAGTGGTTTGTGATTATTTGTGGCACATTTTAGAACTTTCCTTCTTATTGGGAACTGAGAGATGTACATGCTTTCAGGGGGTGAGTGGGTGGGGGGCAGGGATAATCCTAAAGTTTTGGACGCTCACAACATGGATCGA